TCAATAATCACCATACTAAAAGACAAATCGGTGCTAGCAATATGAGTGAAACTACAAACGCATCAATTTTTTTCACTGAAAAATATTGTATGAAACAATCGATTGCGTTCATCGCAAAAGCTTTTGGTTAAATAAAACTGGCGCGTATTTCATATTCAAATCGATGGGTTATTTATACAAAATTGTATTGCATCAAATATGATGTCAGCAAATACTAATGTGTAGACAGATGATTATTCTTTATATGTATATAAAACAAAAAGTGGATGAAACTTCCTCTAAGAAGAAGGCGGATAAGAAATAGACAGACAATGTGTGTTTTTTGTGTGTTTTGAACCAGTGGTTCTAGCAATTATTATCGATAAACATTTTATTTGTGTCTGCACCCCACGTCACACACAAATTGCGAATTTCAAATGTTTAAAAAAGCCAATTGTGTAAACAGAAGAATTTCTACCGAAAATTTAAGGAGAAAGAAAGAAACACTGTCGTATTTGTCATTCTGAATCACTAGCTTTCAAGAAAGTGGCGCTGGTTTCAATAGCAAACTGAAAGTTTGTATGTTATGGTTATCGTATTCTCTTTATATTTCATCGAAAAAGTTCAATGCTCTGGCGCTTTTTGTTAATGTTGTTTGTGATTTTCCAGTGGCAGAAATAAAAAAAAGAATCAATTGGTTTCTCCAAAGAGTTCAAAACTATTCGAAACGGATTAATCCAGAACGAAAATCTGAAAAAAATACGTAAATTTATCAAAGTATTGGACCAACGACAACAAAGCGTTTGACGGTGATCGAACCAAAGCCAAACGATCATATAACACTGAACAATGCATAGAAGATTTGAGAACGATTCAGGAAGCGTCTAGTGATGGAAAAAACAATTGGGCGAACGAAGGTGAGCAATATTCTGCATTGCACTGTCGACAATGGGCATTTGCATTCCCAATTCTTGTGCGCCATCACTTATGGCGACTATATTGAATGATTATTTGGATTCAAATGGAGCTGTTGACATAAGTATTGACCAAGGCTCCTGCCACTTAAAAGACGACAATAAAACTTTTTTTTCAGCTATAAAAGAACGAGGCGTAAATTCTTGCAGATTTTTATATCATTGTGCTTTCAAGCAGTAGTGGAGAAGGTACGGACTCAGATACACTGTACTTCAGTACTATTAATTGGTAAATAATCATGGCGGCTCCATATTATTGCAAAAAGCACAAATGGTATCAAGCCTTCACACGTTCTTTTCATGTAAGTCCTTTTTCCATCGACCTCATAAATGCTACAAATTGAGAACATTATTGATACAAATCTGATGTTACAAATCGTCGTTAGCCACATAATAAACACTAATAACCAGTGTTCTCAACGGGCTCGAAAATTGCGCCCGAGTCCGTCCGAAGTCCGAGCATTTGTGATCGAGACCGCCCGCTGCCCGACCGAGCAACGCCCGATCGGGCCGATAGATATTTTTTTTCTGAGAAAAAAGTGGGAAAAGCATGACTTTTTGATTTTTTTCAACGTTTTTTATTAAAAAAAACTAGAAAAAATTGCTTTTTCTGTATAATTTTGTGTGACCGAAGGCCGACGGGTCATATATCTAAACCGAGGCTGACCGATATCCGACGAAACTTCGATCGGGCAGGTCCGACCGACGGTCGGGCTTGTATCATCGGTCGGGCTTGCGAACTCTGCTAATAACGGTACCGTATGCCACTGGCATAGTAGTAATAATAACTTCTATGGAACCAATTTTTTGTTACAACGAGGTGGCAATCACTTGTATGCAACAAAATATGGATAGCAGTTACAATACATGTGGCAAAGTACGATTTGCCACAAATATCGCCACTATGGGAACAAAATGTCTCCATTCGCCATCTTTTTCATTCATTTTGCACGTGTTTGCCGAAACGAAGAGAATAAAATATTTTTTAATAAAAGATTATGAATGAAAACATCAAGAATATTCATAAAAACCATATGTAATCTTATTATAAAGCATCATTGACGGTTTTTGATATAAAAATGTTGTATCGAACTCCCACCGCTTACGTGTACAATGCAAATCAAATGTATTTCAGTGTGGCGCTAGTAGCATGTAGTTTGCCTTAGACGCAGCGCTCGCTAATTTGCTACAAGAATTGCAACAAATTTTCGAATAAATTTTTTATTCTGGAACAAAATTGCTACAAAAATTCTGAAAAAGTTGTGGCAAATTTGTGTCAATCAAATTTAGTGGCAGTTAAGTTCCAAAGATGTGGCGATTGGGTTCTTTGCAACTCAGAAAGATGTGGTATAAGGGGCATATAAGCTCCGCCCCTTGCGCTGTTTTGGTGGCAAATCAATATTTGCAACCGATTTGGAATACATTTTCTTTGGTGGCATAGATGTTGTATATATATCTAATTTCAGCTTTATGAATCAATATTGACACACAGACCAACACTCTGAACCATACTTATTCTGTAAACTTGAGAGCGTTGATCGTTAAAATTGCAACCAATTGGCACCGTTAGCCTAACTGTTCGAATATATCATATTCATATTGGGGCCGCCTTTATTTGCAGTCACTTTTTTCTTCATTCACAGACACTGTGGCTGTTGCTTACTTGAAAAGAGAGCATGTAAATGCTAAGGAATGGAATATAGCACACGAGTTGTCAAGTCACATTCTAACGAGTTGCAGAAAAATGATTTAGT